GCCGCCGCCGCCGCCGCTTTTTCTTTTCTTTTTAAAGAAAAAAAAACAATTAAAAAACAAAACAACCAACACCAAGCGAGTGCATCGCCATGGAGAAAATGTCCCGATCGCTCCCCCTGAACCCCACCTTTATCCCGCCTCCCTACGGCGTGCTCAGGTCTCTGCTGGAGAACCCGCTGAAGCTCCCCCTCCACCACGACGACGGTGAGCGGCGCCCGGCCCTGGGATGGGGTCCCCCCACACCCCCGCAGACACCCCAACCCCGGCTGGGGCCGGCCCTGGGATGGGGTCCCCCCACACCCCCCCATAGACACCAACCCCGGCTGGGGCTGGAGCCGCCCGGCCCTGGGATGGGGTCCCCCCACACCCTCGCAGACACCCCAACCCCGGCTGGGGCTGGAGCCGCCCGGCCCTGGGATGGGGTCCCCCTCGCCCCCCACATCCCCATAGACCACACCAACCCCGGTGGGGCCGGCTCTGGGATGGGGTCCCCCTCGCCCCCCACATCCCCATAAACACACACCAATCCCGGTGGGGCCGGCTCTGGGATGGGGTCCCCCTCGCCCCCCACATCCCCATAGACACACACCATCCCGGCTGGGGCTGGAGCTGCTGTTTCTCCTCCCTTTCCCACCGCGCCCCTACCCGGCTCGGATGAAATGAAGGCGCTCCCCCCCTTCCCCTCCTTCTCAATAATAAGACAGCAGTGTGGGAGGGTTTTTTTTTGGGGGGGGAACCTTTTTTTCCTGAACAATATTTAAAATTGCACTGGCGGTGTGTGAGGGGGAACCACGGCTCAGCTTCCTGGGGTCCCAGGGCGTTCCCCCCTCCCCTGTCCTCTCCCCCTTTCCTTGCTCCTCCAGCTCAGGTGGGGTGTGAACTTGACAGGGTCCACCCCCCCCCCCCATGGCTGCCTAGAATATGACCCAGTGAAATGGCCTGCAAAAGACCAGGAGCCTCCTAAGCAGGGAAGAAGAAATCTGGGCTGGGTTGGGGGGAGTGTCTGGCTGTGTGTGTGTGTGTGTGTGTGTGTGTGTGTGTGTGTGTGTGTGTGTGTGTGTGTGTTGGGGTGGGGGTGCACGTCTGTCCGAGTTACCCTGGTTATGGGAAGGGTGTGCGCGCCTCAGTCCCCGTTTTTGTTTTAGGAAAACTCCCAGCGGTGGGAGCCTCAGAGACGCCTGGGCTGGGCTGCAGGGCCATTGAGAAAGAGTTGGGGGGCTGAGGAGGGGTCTGTCCCCTGAGAAGCAAGTGGAGCACGCCTCCAGCCGCGGGGACTCTTATTTTCCGGGTGCACTTCTTCCCCCACCCCCCCATACCCCAGTGGGAGGGGAGAGAGGAGCAGGCTCACGTGTAACCGCGCTGCAGCAGCCTGCCTCTGGCTTGAGCCCTTCCTTGGTAAGTCCCCAGAAACCTTTCCCTGGGGTAACCTTGGTTTGAAGCAGGAGTTTCCGAGGGAGGCCCCTGGACAGGAAGCTTGGAAGTGAGCGGATGACCCTATGGGGTTTGTCCTTTGGGCCGATGAGGGTTCATGCTTTTGGAATCTCAGTTACAAATGCGGATCATCCTGCCGGTGAGTGTGTAGTGTGTGTGTGTGTGTGTGTGTGTGTGTGTAGTGTGTGTGTGTAGTGTGTGTGTGTGTGTGTGTGGTCCCTGTCTTGAAAGGTGATTTGGCTGTGGAGGTGTATTTGCAACCTGCTTGCCCAGGGAAGGGAGAAGAACCTGTTGCATGCCAGAACTCAGGGGGGGGGGCATGTTTTGGTTTGCAATCTGCAGATTTCTTCTTTCTTTAGAAGACTGTTCTTTGGGAGGAAGGGGCTGCCGGCTGGCGTTTGCATTTGTGGAGATAGTTTGAAGTCAGATTCTCCTATGAGATGGTGGAAGGTTAGGATGGATGGTAGTGGAGGCTGTGTTTCTTTGGGGAAGGGGAGGGAGACAGGGAGAGATGCAGAAGCGAATTCCTTAATCCCAGATTCCACCCACGCCTGAGTACTAGAATCTACAAAATCCTGAGCTCCTTCCTGGTAAAGCTCTTATCTGATGAGAGGTTTTCCAGGTAGGAAATAGCTGCCTACCTTCATCATAGGTATGTGAAATAGCTCACCTTTACCCAACAACACCACCCCCCCTTCTTGGTTGCAAATATATATAATTAGTGCATGTGAATTGGGTGGTGAAATAGGGAAGGAAGAGGAAGAAGAAACCACTGATATTTATTATTTACTTATTTTTTGTCTGTTAAAAAAAATGACAAGTGTCCCAGTAGCTTTCAGAACAAACACACGCTCCTCAGAAAGTTCTCCTTTTTTCTTCTCTGTGCCTTCCTTGTAAGGAAGGAAGTTGGAGAGTGTGGGAGTTCACTGCTGTTTTGGAAGTTCACTGTGGTAATTTTGAGTTAATATACGGGAAGAACCGTGCACAGAAGTAGATATTCAATACACAGTATCCAAGAAGGCTGAAGAGTCTTGCTTTTCTAAGCTTGGGAGCATCAACTCAAACCAAGCATGATGGATGATAGATGTCTGTAATGCCAGAACTCCAGAGGCTGGTGCAGGAAGAGGAGAGAGTTCTGGGAGAGCCTAAGCTACATAGTCAGCCCCTGTCTAAAAGACACAAACAACCCACAGTAAAAAATGAAAATCCTCCAACAACTTAGGTTTCCATAATCTCATATTCATATTGCAGTCAGTTTCTGAAAGATAAGTCAAACCTGGTGATTGGCATTTTTCTTCAAAATCACCCTAGTTGCACATAATAGCAGGTATCTTTTTTTCCCCTATGTTCGACCTCAGACTTGCCTCTTTAAATAATGCCCCGAAGACTGTTACCCTTGTTTTCCGCCTCGATCAGCCTGCAGCCCTGTGCCACACATGAGAGTGCTTTCTTTCCAAAGTAAATAGGAAGAGGTTGAAAAACAGACAGAGATCCTTGTCCTGCCTGAACTTTTAACTCTCCATCCACAAAAGCCAGCAGCCAGCAGCAGACCCCAGGAGCGGTTTTGTAACCCAGGTTAATTTGCTGAAAGAACAACACTTCCTGTCTCTCTCTCTCTCTCTTTTTCTTTTGGTAATTAAAAAGTCCAACTTTCTCCCTCGTTCTGCAGCATTTAGTAAAGACAAAGATAAGGAAAAGAAGCTGGATGATGAGAGCAACAGCCCAACCGTACCCCAGTCGGCATTCTTGGGGCCCACTTTATGGGACAAAACTCTTCCTTATGACGGAGATACTTTCCAGTTGGAATACATGGACCTGGAGGAGTTTTTGTCAGAAAATGGCATCCCCCCCAGCCCTTCTCAGCACGACCACAGCCCTCACACTCCAGGGCTGCAGCCAGCTTCTGCAGCTGTGCCCTCCGTCATGGACCTCAGCAGCCGACCCTCTGCACCCCTTCACCCCGGCATCCCATCTCCCAACTGTATGCAAAGCCCTATCAGACCAGGTAAACTGACTACTGTTCTCCTTTCGAATGGGGTGGAGGGGGGAAGGAGCAGGGCGGGGAGGGAGGATGGATGGCATGGAGGTCTTAACTACTCACTGGCCTTCTTGGAGAGTAACTTCTGCAGGCACGCCACAGGGACTCATCCCCATCTCTCACCTTGACAGTTAAATACAGACTCGAAGGATTTCTTTTTCTCCGGGTCTGGCTGAGGGCCCAGGGAAATGCATTTGTATTTGTATTTTCTTTGTTGTTGGCTGTGGGGCTTGAACACAGGACCTTGGCGCTGTCCCTGAGCTCTTTTTTGCTCAAGGCTAGTGCTCTCTACCACTTTGAACCACAGCGCCACTTCTAGTTTTCTGGTGGTTAATTGGAGTAGAGAATCTCGTGGACCTTCCTGGCCTGGCTGGCTTTGAACATTGATCTTCACATCTCAGCCTCCTGAGTAGCTAGGGTTATAGGCGTGAGCCACCAGTGTCCAGCTAAGGTGCATTTTTAACCAGCTCCCCCATGGGATTCAGATACAGAGCTTCAGTTTAAGATATACCAGTCTATTATAAATGATTTCCCTAATAGAAGCCCTCTGCTCATCTTGCTCCCCACCCTCATCCTGCAAATACATAAATAATAGGATCTTGCTGGGTGATTTGGTTGGCCTGTCTGTAAGGCTTTGACTCTCCTCTTTTGACTCTCCTCTGGCCTGACAGGAGGAAAATGTGAGCAGAGGTATGATGTGAGTGTGCTGTCTCTCTCCCACCCTCGGCATCTTGTTTAGAGGTTAACCAAGAACTGTAATTTAAAAGCAGGCTCTCAGATAAAAGTTTAGCTTTCTCCTTAGTACCAGACAGCATCTTTCTCTGGTCACCAATCTATGCACATATTGTTTTTATTTTCACCTGTCCATCACACTTCGTCTGCCTTTATTGAATCCTGCAAGACTGCAGAGTCGGCTGTAAATGATGTGGAGTTTTACATAAAACCATCACCTAGAAAGACAGGTGCTTCAAACCCATTGCCAGAACTGAGCAGGGTACACACAGGACCCAGGGCAGCTCTTCCTTACCCCAGAGCGCACAGTGAACAGGAAGAAAGATCAGTTCATCTACACAGGTACCAGGAACAAAGATCCCGCTGGATACATTGACAGGAAGGTCACCCAGCAGAGGGCCTTCACTGCAGGCGAAGACAGAAAGCAGAACAATGTGAGACTTGTGTTAGAGATTGTTTCTGAACTCTGTCCTCAACTCATGCAGAAATTTCCGTGATTTAAATGCAAGGAAGGGAGGTAAAGGAGGAAGAGAATACCTCTGCCTTGATCTATGAGTACTGGAGTTTAGGTTCACCCTTTCAAATATTTCTGCACTTTCACACCTCTTCTGTTCCTTCTCCAAAATCAGCTTCGATTGATAGCTTGAGACCACTGGCTCTAATAGAAAGGAACCTTACCTTTAGCCACCTCTGAAGGTTTGAGGGGATATAACGCCTCCTTTAAGTGAACCGTAGCCCTTTACTACATGCAATGCATAGAGCTACCATTTTTAAGCTCTTCCCAGCCAGCCAAGTACATAACCAACCCTTCCAACTGAGAAACAATAGGAGGTTGGGGAGGGTAGGAGCAAACCTAGGGAGCGACACATTGGTGCTTCTGTCATTCCTGTTGTCCCAGGAGCCTTTCTTTTGCTACTTGTTAGCTGTGTGCCCTTAGAAAATGATGTAACACCTTGGAGCCTCCGTTTGTTTTCCTTTGTGTAAAAGGGTAGAATTTTATTTGATGAAGTTATTGTGCAAACTAGGAGGTTCAGGGTCACTGGCTAGTGCAAGTGCTAGGTGTTTCATTAATAGGAATGATTGTGGTGGTTGCTATAGCTATGCCAAATTTTATCATTTATTCCAATCACTGTTGTCTAAAATACTGCCTTAAGGTAATTAGGTACCAGATATAATCTTCCTCTAGAGATAAATATGAGGAGAGTTTGCTCAATGGTTGCTAGATTGGGGGCTTCCTACAGAGAGTCAAAAGTCAGGATCTAGGAATTTGAGGCATAAGTCATTTGGGTTCCTTAGAGTCTGTATTCATTAGTAATTCTTAGACACTTGGAGCATCCCCAAAGCTGATATCCATAGCAAAGAATCCCAGCATTTTAATGGATGTCATTTTACTAGATTATGGAAGAAAGGCACACTGGAAATAATCTTTTCATTTAAATTTGTGGGGTTTTTTGGGGGGAGGTGGGTGGGCTTGAACTCAGGGCCTGGGTGCTATTCCTGAGAGTTTTTTTTACTCTACCACTTTTTGCTCTACCACTTGAGCTACAGCTCCACTTCTGGCTTTTTTTGATGGTTAATTGGAGATAAAAGCCTTACAGACTTTCATGCCTACGCTGGCTTTGAACCACGATCCTCAGATCTCAGCCTCCTGAGTAGCTAAGATTATAGATGTGAGCCACCAGTAGCAGGCTTGTCTTTTTTTTTTTCAGTAATGAAAATTCACTTCAAAATAATAATTTTCTTCTTTGAATTGAAAGCCTAAATGGTAGTCCTCACATCAAAGAAGAAAAGTTAAAGCTCGACTTCAAATGCCAAACAGATAAAATCATGCCCTGCTGTTCACTCCGTGGTTGCCATTATGAGGATTGTAATGTGAAATGAATTTCTAGGGGATGTGAACTTGATGGATATGTATCACAAGTAAACCTCAAAAAGGAGAAAGCTCTCAATTGTTCTCCGTAGCTCACAGGAGTGGCCAGAATAGAAATACCAAATAAATCTTGAGGAAAACAAGTCCTCACAAAAAGAAGAACACAGATTGCAGCCATGAATATTCTGGGAATTGTACCATTTCAATCTTGATGAGGATTTCTCACCCCTGGCACTATTCATGTCTGGTTAAGTCTTGTGGGACCCTGTCCTGTGCAGTATAAAATGTTTAGTAACATCTCTGTTTCTATCCCTGAGATGCCATCGGCACTTACCCTCCAGCTGTGACAAGTAGAAATGTTCCCAGAGACTTGCAAATGTCCCTCAAGGATAAATTCAACTACCAGTTGAAAACCAATGGTCTAGACCTTGAATTTGGAAAGGAAAATCAGGGCTTCCTTCAGGAATCTGTCACACAAATGGATGCTATCTGTCTCATGATACTTTATAGTAAGACTTTTGAGGAAAGTCAGGTAGCTATTAGGTTGCCACAAAGAAAGAATATATTGATAAGAGCATCATTACACTTTTTTTTTTTTTAGTAGATAAAGCTAAATGACCAGGCCAACCAGGAGACAATGGCAGAACAGTTCCCCGAACATTGGTTTTCAGGTACTTTCTACGCACACATCTCCCCAGGTATGGTCAGTAGCACTGTGTCCTTAATGCTACTAGTCTAGTTGAAAGACCACCAAGCCAGAAATTGACAAATACTCTTGGGGTAGCAAGATGAGCAGTTGATTTTTGTTTTGTTTTGTTGGTTTTAGTTTTTTGTGTTTTTTTTTTTTTTTTCTGGTCGTGGGGCCTGAACTCTGGGCCTGGGCGCTGTCCCTCAGCTCTTCAGCTCAAGGCTAGCACTGTATCACTTGAGCCCACAGCGCCACTTCTGGTTTTCTGGTGGTTTATTGGAGATAAGGGTCTCACAGACTTTCCTGCCTTGGCTGGCTTTGAACCTCAATCCTCAGATCTCAGCCTCCTGAGTAGCTATGATTCCAGGCATGAGCCACCAGCACCCAGCTAAGGTGAGCATTTTTGTGAGCTTTCAAAGCTATTTACGATGACTGCTCTTCTGGACTCCTTTCATAGTTTGTATACTCCCCTCCTCTGTCTACTGCCTGGTCAAAACTGAGTTAACTCTTTTCTCTGAAGGCATACTCTCGGAATCCATGGAGACCTGAAGTGGTGACGTGGGATTGTCAGGTTTTCTGGGTCACCTTCTCCACGGAGGGTACAGTTGGGTGGGTTTTGGGTTGTTATGCCACTTCAGAGGCTTCTGAGCCTCTGAGTACAGCGTCTTGGCTGTTGGCAGGTCCGCCGGGCTGGCAGCCATCATCCTGAAGAGTTCAGTGTTTGCACTGAAGATATTATCATATGAAAGTGGGGATGCTCCTGGAGGTGTGCTGTTGGGTACAGGGAAAAATAAGAATCTGTGTGCCCCGAGAATTAAATGATGGCTCCGAGGACAGCTGACCCTTCAGGGAAAGTCATCTAAAGTAGACAAAGGCACATTTCTTTTTATATCCCATACTTACAAAGCTGGTTTCCTCGCGCTTCCCCCCTCCCCCACTCCTTTGACTAGCTTGAGGGTATCCTACCACTTTTATGCCCATTTTCATCTGAGAACTAAGAAGGTTCTCTAATGAAAGCTGGGTACAGAGTAGAAGGAAACCCTTCTATGTGGTGGGAGGTGAAGAGGAGCGCTTAAGAGAAGGGGGCTGGAGTGAACTGTTGCTGTACCTGTGTGTGTGCATTGTGGAGCTGCTGTCTTCTTTCTCCTGACTGTCTTTTGTGACAAGCGTTGGTAGCTATGGACCTGTGCAATAAGAGAGGGAGCCTCTGTGCTGGAGGCTAGGGGATTGCGGGAGGTCCTATGAGGGGAGAGGATTCTCTTCATCCTGCCGAGAAGCTCCCCCGCCCCCAGGGCCTGGAGTTTATACTTTGCAAAACACATTGCAGGTTGGAGCCCTGTGAGTGAGAGGGGCCGGGCCATGACACTTCGGATATCTCAGGAGTTTCTCATCGCTCAAGATGAAAGTGCTCATGCAGGAGAGAGAGGGACTGCACTTTGTTCTCCAGGGAGGCAGGCAGATGATTTTCTGTGTCTTGGCATTATTTATCGCCTCCACCAAAGTCCCGTGCAGGCCAGGCTCGCTCTATCATCTTGCTTATCTTGCTTATGTCATGCTGCTCCTCCATCAAAGCATAGCAGCCTCTGGCAAGAGGTCTTTTGGGGCCTGAAAGGCAAGCAAGGCAACTTGGTAGTAAGAATGTTGGCCCTGGACTCACAGGGGTTCGAGTGGTGTACA